GGAAAAATACCATTTCTAGAAATATACAGTACCTAAGGAAACCTTTTAAAAATATGTTCATGTCTTTTATGACAGAACATTTTAATTTTGGGCACCTGGGTGGCTCATTGCCTTCAGCTCAGGTTAGGATCCTGGAGTCTCAGGATCCAGTCCCACATCAGGCTCCCTGCTGAGCAGGGAGAATGCTTCTCCCTCTGACCCTCCCCCTCTCATTCTTTCTCTCTCTCTCTCTCTCACACACACACACACACAAATAATAAAATCTTTTTTTTTTTTTAAAGAACACTTTACTTTTTTTAAAAGATTTTATTTACTGGGGCACCTGGTGGCTCAGTGGGTTAAAGCCTCTGCCTTCGGCTCAGGTCATGATCTCAGGATCCTGGGATCGAGCCCTGCATCGGGCTCTCTGTTCAGCAGGGAGCCTGCTTCCCCTACCCCCTCTCTCTGCCTGCCTCTCTGCCTACTTGTGATCTCTGTCTGCCAAATAAATAAATAAATAAAATCTTTAAAAAAAAGATTTTATTTACTTATTTTAGTGGGGGAGGGGCAGAGAGGGAGAGGGAGAATCTCAAGCAGACTCCTGCTGAGCACAGAGCCTGATGCCGGCCTTGATCTCACAACCCTGAGATCATGGCACGAACCGAAATCAAGAGTCGGATGCTCAACCAACTTAGCCACGCAGGCACCCCATGACAGAACATTTTTAATTTTATCAAAAGATTTTAAAGAAATCCAAAACTAATGGGTAGATATACCATGTAAATGAACAGGAAGATGTCAGTATTGCAATGACATCAGTTCTTCCAAAATATATCTCCAAAGTCAGAGCCACGATCCAGTCTCTGCTGCAGGATGTGGACTCTGGTTCTGATGAAGAGAAGGGCTGGAATGAGGCCCCCGGCAGTCAGATACCAACCTGCAAAGCGAACGGTTCAATAGTCCAGGATTTCTGCTGGGATTGGCCCAGCTCCTACCTTGAATAAATTACTTAAACTCTTTGTGCTTCTGTTCCCTTGTCGGTGATAACCTCAGATGGTGGTTGTGAAGATTAACTAATACAAACAAAACACGTAAAGCAGGGCTTCGCACATGATCAGCACTAAGTAAGATTTAACTATTACCATCTCTACTGTTACCCACGTTATTGACATTATGTTCATGTCACAGGTTCACAATGGTTTGAATGGGCAGTGGAAATAGGGAGGAGCCTGAGCGGCCACATTCCAAGGCCATGAGAAATAAAACCTGAAAGCCTGATGTGAGGGATGGAAGCACAGGACAACAATGTTCTTTCACATCTGCTTGAATTGAGATTTTCGGGGCGCCTGGGTGGCTCGGTTGTTAAGGGTCTGCCTTCAGCTCAGGTCATGATCCCGGGGTCATGGAATGAGCACTCGGAGGACTCCCTGCTCTGCAGGAAGCCTGCTTCTCCATCTCCCGCTCCCCCTGCTTATGTTCTTTCTCTCACTGTGTCTCTCTCTGTCAAATAAATAAAATCTTAAAAAAAAAATTTCTCCACATGAAGTACTGAATCTTCCTTGAAGGACAGGAAGTAACCCAAGCGCGCTGCAAAAGTAAGCCTTGGTCGCATTAAATCACCGAGATCTGGGAGATATTTGTTATGTAGCATAACCTAGCCTCGGCCGGCACAGCCCAGATACACTGTTGTTCCCAAATTTGACTAAACATAAGACTTTCCGGCAGTCATTGCTCAAAACCCAGATTTCTGGGCTGCAGCACAGCTCTACCGAATCAGAATTTCCAGGGAAGTGCCTGGTAATCTGTATATTTAACAGGCTTTCCCCTCCATCTTCAGAAGGGTCAAGAAAGCCCGAGCAGCTAAACTTGAAGGCAGGGTAGGAGTGGGGCTTGGGGACGTGAGAGGGAAGGGCGTTCTAAGGGTCAAGAGGAACATGAGGAAAAGCACGGGGGGAAATGCAGGGAAGAGCGCTTGGAATGGAATTGGGGTACATGAGTGATGGTGGTGTGTGCTGAAGTGGGAAGTCAGGATAGGAGGTCTGGGCTTTATCTTACGAATAGTGGGGATGTGGGGAGACCTTCCGAGCAGGTGCTGGCCTGCTTGTACTGATGCTTTAGAAAGGCCAGTCGGGAGGAGGGACGGCATGAGAGGCTGGGGCATGGTCCAGGTCACCCATCTCACAGGGTTATTGGATGGACTTTAAGAATCCCTGAACGGGGGCGCCTGGGTGGCTCAGGCGGTTGGGCGTTTGCCTTTGGCTCAGGTCATGATCCCAGGGTCCTGGGATCGAGTCCTGAGTCGGGCTCCCTGCTCGGCAGGGAACCTACTTCTCCCTCTCCTTCTGCTTCTCCCCCTGCTCGTGCTCTTTCTCTGTCAGATAAATAAAATCTTTAAAAAAAAAAAAATTCCTGGGCAAGAAGAGGAATTACGATTGTCATCTCTTGAGTGTTCTTGTGTCCACCTTTAGAGTTTTAGCCAGATTTGAGATGTACATCTTTCACTCATTCCTTTATTTCACAAATACCTGGGCACCTTCTACGTGCTGGGTGCCTTTAGTGCCACTGGGAAACCAGCCACGAATGAAACACACAAAGGTCCCCGCCTTCGTGGGCCTTATTTCCTTTGTCCTTATGCCTGGGTAAGGGTGTGAAAGAATAGACCATGCATTCATTCATTCATTTGTTCATTGAGATTTTTAGTGAACATCTGCTTTGCGCCTGACCTTGGTTGCTGGAGGGAAGCGAGGGAAGCAGACATGAGTCAGGCCCAGTCTGGTCTAGTGGAGAAGCTGACTCAGCCCACACCTCATGAGGCTGCCTAGACTGCTGGGAAAGGCTTGAAGGATGGTAAGTCTGACTATCCGAGAAGGGGCAAGACAGAGTACTGGGCAGAGGAGAGATGGCACAGTGAAAGGGAATAGGGTGTCCGGGGTCCGGGATCCCATGGTGTGGTTAAGGCTGGGGGGTCTGCAGCCCAAGGAGGGGAAGTGGTAGGAGAGATGAGGTGAGGGTGGTGGGATTCAAAGGCCAGAGCAGCTACCAAGTGCAATCTGGGGGGTCATGGTGGGTAGAGTGGGGGGTAGAGTCGGTGGTGCAGGGGACTGATAGGACCCCATTTGTTTAGAGCACAGTCACACTGGGCACAAACACCTGGGGAGAAAACCAGACACACAGGGAAGGGGTTGCCACTGGGAGGACCAGAGAGGGGACTGTTGTGATGCTGCGGGTGAAAGCCAATGAGGGCTTAGACTGAGCCAAGGTGGTGAGAAGGGAGAGGACCCAGGAGACAGCTCTAGATCTGATAGCTGAGGGAGGAGGTACAACACTGTGGTTTTACAAGAATAGGCTTTGTAATCACAGGATGCCTGCAAGAGCCCCAGCCCTGTCCTTTACTAACCTTGTGAACTTAGTGCCATCATTTCAGCATTCCGAGCTTCAGTTTCCTGATCTGTGCACTTGGGATAATGGCAGTAGCAGCTACGTGATTGGGAAGATTCTTGGACCTACTCTGCATGACACCCAGGTTGGGGGGGATGCGCTCAGAACATGGCAGCATTATGGGGGTTGGGGAGGGAGCCAAGGTCAGTCTTCTATCTGCTCTCAGTGACTGGTTGATGGAGATGCCACCTCTGATGGAGAACACAGGAAGGCGCGCTTTGGGAGGAGGAGGCAAGGCCGCCACAGTCTTGGAGGTTCCATCAAAGCTCTGGCCTCACTCACTGCAGTTACGGACTTCCTCGAATCTCTGATGACATCTTTTGCCTCTCTGTTCTCAGTGCTCAGAGCAGAGGCTGTCTTTGAGGAGGAGGGTCTGTCTTGGAGCCACAGATATGGGTACTGTGGGCAAGTAGGTGCAGTCGACTCTGGAAAGTGAGAGGGTAAAGAAGAAGAGAGGAGAACCCAGGGTGGGGCCCAGGGAACCCTGAGATAGAGGGGTTGTGGGAGAAAGGATGGATCTGGAAGGAGGCTGGAAAACAACATTCAGAAACTGGGGGTGGAGGTGGGGGAAGGGAGGCTGGAGGCAGGCTGGGAGTCAAGGAGGGGAGGGTTTCAAAAAGAGAGAGCTCATCAGGGTCATATGTCACCGAAAGATCATGAAGTGTAAGGCCTGACCGGTGGCCGATGGATTTGGCATCAGGAAGGTCATGGGGTAAATTGGTAGAAGCTGGTTCAAGGCCTGTAAAGGGGCCAAAGCCCACTGCAGGGGTGGAGTTGTTGATGTGATGTTAGAATATGGCTATGGGGAGAAGAGAGGTGGGGATCAAGGAGAAGGACGGAGGGTACTTGCATCTGCCGGGGTACCAGCATTCCCCTCCCAATAAGGACGAATTTCCTTTTCAACAGTCAGAGCCATGTGAAGATAGGCCAAGAGGTCAGGAAAGGTAGTGAGCCCCCTGTTCCCAGAGGTAGACAAGCAGACCTCTGAGACCCACTGCTGCCCAGAGATGGGCACAGATAGAGTGGGGAAGGCTGTGCAAAATAAACCCCAAAACAAACAAGTCCCTGCCCTTCTCAGGCTCGGCTGATTCCTTGCATCACAAAAGCCACCTAGAGGGTCACTTTTGCTATTTCTAGTGTCCAAAGAACCTCCTGCAGGGATAACACACAGAGGTGGTCGAACCGGGCTCACACAGATAACTCGCAGACACCAAACATAAAGTCTACCTATATCTCCGGTGTAAAGGGATCCACTGCACCCCTCCCTGGGTTACTCCCTGAAATCACTCCCCTTACCTCCTTTCTGCCGTGCCCCCCCCCCCCCCGCCCCCTCCCGGTCCCCCCCTCCCTCCCTTCCTCCTTACCTCCCTCCGCCCCCCTCCCCCGCGCTTCGGCTCCCGCATCCCTCCATCCGAGCCTGTGCCGCAGCCGCATCGCCACCGCAGCCCCGGCAGAGCCGAGCCCGGCCCAGGCCCCTGCCCCTGCCCGGCCCTCGGCCCGCCGCCCCCGGCCCCGCCCCCGCTCGCGGGCCCCCCCAGAGGCTCGGGTGCCCCCCGGCGCCCCCAGACTCCAGCCTCCAGCCCCGAGGCAGGAGGCAGGGAGCAGCAGCAGAGGCAGGAGGAGGACGAGGAGGAGGAGGAGGAGGAGCCGTCGCAGGATGAAGGATCGGACTCAGGAGCTGCGGAGTGTGAGCTTGGGGGTGGGGAAAATGGGGGGGCGGGACCCCAATATTGGGGGAGCGCGAGGGGGTGGAGTGGGGGAGGTGCTGGGACATGGGGGCAAACGACGGGACAGGAGGAGGTTGGTGGTAGGGGCACCCCAGTATCTGGAGGCACCTGATGTCTCCAATGAACCTGCATTTTGGGGACGGTGGCTGGAAGAGGTAGGAGGCCATTAAGACTCAAGGGGGCAGGAGAGGTTCCAGGGGCTTTAGCTACCCACGTTCCCAGGAGGGCCTGGGGGTCTAATCCGGGATGGGAGAGAGTGAATGTCAGGAGAAAATTGGAGGGTACTGTCCTCCCCTGGGCAGATTTGCGGAATTAGAAAGATGGGGGCGGTTACTGGGCCAGGCTGAGTCTAGCGGGACCAAGATTCAGGGAGTGCTATGGGGAAGGACACAGGTTGGGACAGAGATGCCAACACCTGGCAGTGACTGAAGTGTATATGTGTGTGTGTGCACACGCGTGTGTTGCTCCCTGTGGAGAGGGGGCACCTCTCAGAGATGAGGAGGGAAGGGGTGGCCTCAGGAGACAGCCAGAGGGCCAGGGCTGGGGATGGGGTGACCCCAGAGGTGGGAGATGGGTTGCAGAGGAGAGAGGGGGAGGAGGCTCCGTGCACAGGGCCATGGAATTGGGTTGTGTGACACGGACCGTGCTCTGCTGGGGGGAACTGGGGCATCCTGAACAGGCAGGGGCTGGTTGGTGTGGGCCCCTGCTTTGCAGGCCTTGAAGAGGCCCAGCTTCAGGAGTCTGGCCAGGCAGTTTGGGTGACAGGGGAGGAGGGTGGCGCTGATGCCCGCAGTGGAGGCTGCCACTTGGAGAGGCTTGATGAGACCGGTTTCTAGGGTAGGGAGAATGTTGGGGGGTTCGTAGAAATGACCCGGGGTCCGAGAAGGCAAAGCTGACAGCCTGCTGTGTGCTCGGGGCCTGTGGTGTTATGTTCAGAAAGTACTAGCCCCAGCCATGATGCATCCTGACGCCCTGGGTCTCTACCAGGGGGACCCTGTTGGTTGTTCCCTTTGCCCGGGTTACTACCCCATTTGACAGATGAGGAAGCTGAGGTTCGGAGATAGCAAGAGCTCGCCCAAGGTCACCATGCAAGTGGGTGGGAGGATCAGATGGGAATTTGGGTTTCAGTCTGGCAAGTTGACATGAGTCTCTGCTTTTTTGATCTTTGAAACAGAAGTCTCCACACTGGGGTTAAAAAGCTCTGTTTTGGGGAGCCCCCGGAATAGGGGTGTGGGAAACCAGGCTATAGAAAGCTAGGAGGAAGGGGCTGGAAGATAAAATGACTGTTGCTGTCTCCAGGGAATGATGTGTTGGCAAATCGGAAGGAAGGAGAAACTGGTGGTTGAAAGAGGGAATTTTGAAGGTTTCTGTATTCGACTTTCACTGAATATGGGGCCGGGCATCCACTAAAGGACAGTAATAAAAATAATCAACCTTCTAGTGCCAGAAACTGTACTAAGCGTTTTATTCATGTTTACTCATTTTGGTCTCCGCCACAACCCTGGTACTAGTTTGGTCCCATTTTATGGGTAAGGAAATTGAGGCCCAGAGAGGTTAAGTAACTTGATCAGAGTCACATAGCCAGAGTCACATGGAAAAAGCAGGCAGGCGGGCTGGCTCCCACATTAGCGCTCCGAGCTCCCCTTCTTTCACATTGCATTTTCCAAAGCAGTTTGCCATCCATAATCTCATGAGACCCTCTCTGACCTCCTGGTGAGGTATGTAGATTGAGAGACTACCTCATGTTATAGCTGAGGAAACTGAGGCCCAGAGTGTTTAAATAACTGGCCCAAGGTCACACAGCTCTCAAGTGAGGAACACAGATTGGAACCCAGATCCCCTGCACCAACACTATTCCATGACTCCAAAACCCAGAGAAATGGAAAGCGGTTGTTGAGGTGAGGTGCTGGCAAATTTGAGGTCTAATCAGAGAGAGGGAGGGAAAGTCCTAAGACACGGAGGGAGGGGGAGGCAGAGCATGGCATCCTCATCCAAGTGGATCAGATAGGCCCCTGCCCAGAAGCAAGGAGTTCTGGCTGCTGGGGCTGCAAGGGTGGGCAGCCAGGTGGGGAGGTGGGAGGTAGCATGGGGGGGGGGAAGGGGGGGGGGGCAGATGGCTCTGGTGTTAGTCACAGCTCAGAGAGACTGGAGATTTGGGAGGGGGGTGGTGGGTAGGGCGGAAAGAAGCTGCCAGATGCAAGGAGTGCCAGGGTCTCCCCACCAGAGTTGAGAGCGAGGAGACTGGGAGGCAGGAGAGACCGGGCAGGGTAGGAGAGAGGCCTGCTAAAGCGGTCTCTGTGATCCTGAGAGGGATGGCGAGGGCCGGAGGGGGGTGTCACCTCAAGAGACCTGATCATCTTTCCAGCAGAACTTAGCGTTCCCCAGGGGTTCTCAAATCTGTTTATCACATAGCGGGTGAGGGCACAGAGTTGGGACTCAGACTGTCTGGGTTCAAATCCTAGCTTTGCTACTTCCTGTGTGACCTTGGGTAAGTTTCTTAACCTCTCTGGTCCTCAGTTTCTTCACGTGTGAATTGGGAGTAACAATTGTACCTGTTCTCTGGGTTGTCCAAAGGATTGGAACTAGGTAATAGGCAAAAGGTGCCTAGAAGGGCCCTGGGCACCCAGTGCTCTGTGAGTGTTTGTTATTCTACAGCTGACTTGCTTATTTCCCTTGAACCTTATCACATCAGCCCCCTGGGATGGGCGGGATGTGACCCCTAATTTATTTTGGAGTAGAAAGGGCCAGAGAGGCAGCCTGACCGAGGTCAAACAGATGGTAAGCAGAGCTGGTGCCGAACCAGGGTTTTCTGTTTTCTAAATTCACCAGGCACCTCTGGGTGCGAGCTGGGAGCTGCTGGGCTGGAGGGGAGCTCGTCAGCCTGACGGGTGCTCCAGAGTCCAAGGGGCGGGGCCAGGGATGGGGCTCAAGAGGAGAGAAAGAGGAGTAAGTGGGGTAGAGGGGAGGACTGGGGAGAGAGAGAAGCATGGCGGGGGGTTGCGTTTGGACTTTGGAGAGATCTGGCAAGGCCCGCAGTGAGGGAGGCTCAAATCTGAGGCCCGGTGGGCGTGGGGGCTGTGATGGGACAAGCCACACACCCTGAAGGCAGGGACTGAGTCATCTGGGTAGCACTCAGATATGGGCTAGGCACAGAGAGGGCCTTAGATGGCACGCCTGAATGACAGCAGGCAAGAGTGACCCCATGAGTGAGCAGGGCCCAGCGGAGCCCTGGTGACGGGCTGCCAATCCCCCAGCTGCACAGGGCTCCTTTCTGCCATGCAGACACACCAAATTCACCCCTGCCTCAGGGCCTTGGCACTTGCTGTTCCCTCTGCTGGTCTCTCTGTTTTGAGTGCTCTTCCCTCCACGTGGACTGCTCTTCCCTCCGCCTAAAATTCTGTGTCATCCTGAAAAAAGCCACCCCTGATAGCCCCTGCTAGCTAGCACAGACCGAACCTGTCTTGTTCATTCTTCATCACCCTCGATCTCTCAGAGGCAGGACCTTCTTCCTGTCTTATCCACCACTGTGTTCTCAGCAGCAGCCAGGAAACGTGGCTCATCTCATACATGTCTGCTAGGTGAATGAATGACTCAGTGGGGCAGAGGGAGGACTTGGAGGGGAGTAGAGGTGGGGAAGGAGGGAGGGCCAAGTGGCAAGGTGGGGGTGGGAGGGCCAGGCTGGGCGCTGGGAGGGCGGAAAGGCCCAGTCAGGGAGACAGATGGACAGGAGTGGGGGTGCGGCGGAGAGAGACAGCTGCCTCTAGATCGAGCCATGCTTGCACCCCGCGTGAGCACGTGTGTGTTGTGTGCATGGGTACGCATGTGTGTTTACACACACGCACGCGCGCTCTATGACTTTGCTGTCACCCAACACCGGGCTCTTTCCTCCTCTGTGTTAGTCACCTTCTCACCATCTGTCTCTGGTCCCTGACTTGCTGGCTCACTGTGTCCCTCTCCTTCCATCCACACATCTGTCTCTGTTGTCACCCCGCACGGGTGTGCCCAAGGGCCGCTGGTCTCTCTGATTGGAAAGACTGCAGCTGGAGGCTTGGATCTGATGCCCCCGATGCCCAAGTTGGAGCCACAGGGCACCCAGGACCTCTGCAGTCTCTCATGGAATGCTCTTAAGCACTGGTAGAGCTGGTGAGCAGGAAGGGCAGAGGGCCTGGTTCAAACCTGGTGCCCCGGACGGTGCCTGCTGTATCATCTTGAGCGAGTCACTTAATCGCTCCATGCCTCAGTTTCCTCCTCTGTCAGATGGGTATAAGAATAGTATCTGCTTCATGCAGTGCTTATGAGGGTTAAACGAAACGCACAAAACATGTATCACAGGGCCCAGCTCACCATAATTAGTACATACATGTTAGCTTTCTTATCTCCTTCATTTCGGACATGAGGAAACTGAGGCTTGAGTTGTCCCTCAAGTGGATCGGGTGCATGTGATCATCTCTTCCTGGGTGATCTCATTTGCCCACAGCCTGCATTCCCTCAGGCCGGCCAGCTCCTTCCAGAAATGGAGGCCGCAGTCGTTATTAAACGCGCAACCCTCAGAGCAGGGAAGCCCTTGGTGCACCAGCCTGCCCATTCCACAGACCGACTGGGGTGCAGAGAAGGGCTGAGGTTTGCCTCGGATCACAGAGGAGGGCGAGGGGAGGTAGAGCACCTGGCTTCCTACCTGGGCTCTTCCTGCAGCCTGGCCGGCCTTCCTGGATTTTTCTCCTGGCCACAGGAGTTCAGCAGTGCTGGGGACAAGCAGAGCAGGACGGGGTGGAGTGGGGTCCAGGGAAGCCTGGGATTAAGCATTTGGCGTTCAGGTCCCACCTCTGGGCTGTTTTGCTGTGAAGCCTTTGGAAGGTCAGGCAACCTCTCTGAGCCTGCTTCCGTATCTGTAACACAGGAGCTGCAGGGGGTACCAGCCAACCCTCACGAAACACTGCGTCTTTCTGGCAACATTAGGCATTTTTCCTGCCTGGACTCATTGCCTCCACCTGCCTAGCATTTGGGGCAGATGACATTCTTGCTGTTCAGCTAAGGCAGAGGCTGAAGCCCAGAAGGCAGAAATCGTGTGGCCTTGTAGCTGCTAGCCTGGGCAGGTTCTTTAGCCTCTCTGTGCCTCAGTTTCCCTGTCTATAAAAGGGAGCTGTAATAATGCCGACCTCCAGAAAGGCTTTTGTAAGAATTAAATGGACAAATAGCCAAAGGGCGTAGAACCGTGCCCAGCTCGTTATCACATGCTATGTAAATGTTTGGCATTAATTATAATTATGCTGTCCAGGGGCCCTGATAGGGTTTAAAGAAAGAGTTAATGAGATAAACAAGGATGTAAAACCCAGGTAGAAGATGCTGTTAAAAGATAGTATTTCCCCAGGATTTCAGGGCACAGAGCCCCACCAGACTGGGCCTTAGCAGGAGCTGAGCTGAGAGGGAAAACAGCTAGTGGCAGAGGCCCTGGAAGGAGGTGGCCTGGCCTCGAGCCTTCGAAGGGCTGGGGGGGGTCTGTCTTAGATGCTTATGATTGCCGGCCCACTCAGCCCAGGCGCCCTTGGACGGGTCACTTCCCTCCCCCGCCCCCAACCTCCCGGTTCCTTCATCTGTGAAATGGGGACAATGATATTTGCTCAGCCTTCCTTTCAGGCCCGTGTGGTCAGGATCAAAAGGGATTACAGATGTAAAAGTGTTTGTGAAATGTAGAGGATTATTAGCTCTCAGCTCCCTGTAATTATTATACCAAATAAGTCATCCTTGGGTCTCTACCTCTCTTCCTCTCTCAAGGACGAGTAAACAGGCAACCAGGGATGCCCCAGGGCAGAATCGAGGGAAACTTGGCTCTGGGGACAAACCGGAGAGAGAAAGGGAAATCAGACTTTAGAAGGTCGAAAGTCAGCCTGGGGAAAAGGTGGAGAACAGGAAAGTTCCCAGGCCAGAGGGACGCCCCATGACCTCTGGGCAGCTGGGAAGGGGCCCAAGTCAGAGAAAGGACAGAGGAGTGGTTTTGGCTCTAGGGGAAGGAGACCCCGTGGGACAGCTGGCTTGAGGGCAGGGCATCAGGGGAAGCTGGTCCGTCCTCCAAGAGGAGCTGAGCCTCCCAGAGCCTCTCGGGGCCAAGGTCTATCGGGGTAACCCCGGATCTGGTGGAGACCTGAGAAGCCAGAAGTCCTCTCCGAGTACCCAAGCCCCACCTGTGCCCCCTCTCCTTCCGAAGGCAGCTGTGCACAGAGACAGAGGAGCCTCCCTTTCCCAGTGGATGTTTGGGATCGTCTGGAAACTCATTGGAAGTGCTGAATACATTTTCTGACGTGGGGTGGGGCCCAGTGTCTGTAGGGAGAATCCCCTGCATTCTGTTTGGGTAGGAACCTGGGGAGGGGGGCATCGAGAGCTGCCCCAGAGCGAGCAGCTGGAGGGCTCCCCCGGCTCACAGGCTCCTCCCAGGGCTGTCGGGGCTCTGCTGATTCCGAGTTCACTTGGCTGCCTAGATTGCATCTCGGCCCCATCTGGCTCTGTCTAGGTTCGATCCGAGCTGTCTGGGATCTGTCTGCCCCCGAGTCTAGTTGGGTCTGAGCTTGTCTGGTTTCTGTCAGGTCCTGTCTGTGATCTGCTCGGACCCTGTCGGGGATCCACGGGAACTCCTCTCTCTGGATCCCAACTGGCTGTGCTCCAGGCGGACACCTTCGGATCCTGTCTTGATGTCATTCAGGCTCGGATAGTCCGATTCTGTCCCGTTTGGGCTAGGCTGTTTCCGGAAGTCGGTCTGTTTAAATTTCCACTGGGGCTGATTAGGGCTCCGCGTGTAATTAAGCTTGACGGGCTCAGCTTTTTGTCCTCAGACTTCTGCCCCAAGCGGAGAAGAGTCTCCAGTCAGGAGCACGGAGCACCGGGGAGCCTGGTCCGTCCCCTGTCTTCTTTCCTGGCTCCGCAGGAGTGTGCAGGCCTGAGGCTGGGAGAGCCTGGGAGCTGAGGCCTGCAGGGTGCTCTCAGGCGTCCCTGGGGCTGCGGGTGCACGTCTGTGTGGCCACGCGTGGCAGCAGGCAGCTTGGCCGTGGGGCCGCGTGTGGGTGAACATCAGCGTGTCAGTGTATCTCCGCGTGGGTGTCCGGGGGCCTATTTCTGTGTGCCTTGTGTGTCAGCCCTTCTGTCTGTGTCACTGGTCTGTCTGGCGGTGGCGGGGGCGGGGGCGGTGTGGGTGGGTGAATCCCTTTGTGTCTCTGAGCCTTGGGGGTGGAGGGCTGAGCAGCTGCAGGTTGCAACTGGGAAATCCAGGCAAGTGAGAGTAGGTGGGTGTGAAGTGGGGAGAGGCTAGATGAAAGCAAGTGAATACGCCAGAGGGGCAGAGCCGTGGAGAGGGTGAGAGCAAGCGGGAGGGGGCAGGCGCGGGGAGCAGGGGTGCGGGTGGGGGCTTGCGGTGCTGCCCATGGGTCTCCTCCAGCCCTTCCTGGGCTTGACTATGCTCGCTCAACTTGGTACCCGCAGCTGGCAGTGAAGTGACCTTGCACAGGGGACGAGGCCGGTCTGGTGGAGGCTGGAGGGGGAAGAGAAGGGGAGCAAAGTGAGGCCTGGACAGGAGTGGCTGGGGAGATAGCAGCTAGAGTCAGCCTCCAGAGGCTTCCATTCCAGACCCCTTCCTGGAGCTCAGAGCCAATTCCTGCAAAGCTGACATTTAGCTGGTAGCTATGATACCGGTTAGTGGCAGCTGTCCTGGGTGTCATCGCCCCCCCAGGGTGACTGCATTCTTGGGGTCACATCCACCCTTGAAAGAGTGCCTTCTGCTAATTCCCTCCAAGGTATCCCTTGGGCTATCAGCTACCTGGCTTCCCGGACCCTGTTCCACAATTTTTCCAATGTTCATTTGGACCGCTTGGGGCTCTTGTATTTGACCTGCAGATGACCTGCCTCCCCTGCAGATGACCCCTTCCCAGGCCTCTGCTCTGAACCTAGAGCTGGGAGCATCAGACTCAGGATAGGGACTGTTCATGAATTCTACCTTTCTTTGCCTCCCAGGCTAAAGACAGTGATGATGAAGAGGAGGTGGTCCACGTGGATCGCGACCACTTCATGGACGAGTTCTTTGAACAGGTAACTGAGCATCTGATGCTCCAGACCCAGAAGCCGGCCCCCAGGCAACGACTTCCCTTGCCCTGTTCCCACCCCTGCTCTCCACTCCTACACCCTCTTGGCCTTTTTACCTGTCCCTTGACTCTGGATTACCCAAACCCCAACTAAGCCCCAGGGCCCCTTGCCTGGCTCAGCGACTTGGCTGGGCACAGCTGATCTGGTACCCCAGGTGGAAGAGATCCGGGGCTGCATTGAGAAACTGTCAGAGGATGTGGAGCAAGTGAAAAAACAGCACAGTGCCATCCTGGCCGCCCCCAATCCAGATGAGAGTGAGTACTGTTGCTGGGTGGCCGTCAGCGGGATGGGGGTGGACAGTGTTGAGGGGGGAGGAGGTGGGGGATGGGCTCCCCTCCAGACTTCTTACCCGCTCTGGCTCTCCCCTCAGAGACCAAACAGGAGCTGGAGGACCTCACCGCAGACATCAAGAAGACGGCCAACAAGGTTCGCTCCAAGTTGAAAGGTGAGGAATGCAATCCCCAGACCCAGGGGAAAACAACTCTGCCCTCATGGGACCAAACATGCCTTTCTATGAGGAGTGCCTACCGGTTTCCAGGACCCAGCTTCCTAAACAGTGAGAAAGCACAAAACCCCAGATCCAGATCTTTGGAGAAAGATACATGACAAAGAAATGAGGGAGAGGAGGGTTTCTGTCCAAGGTTCATCTGAGCATGGCTGGATCCACCAGCATGAAGGTCCACCAGAAAACAGAGGCTTCCAAGTGGCTTCGGTTTCATTAAATCCTTCTTTCTCCAGAACAGGTGCCGCGCATAGCGCTAAGCACCCAGTAGGTGGGCCCAGCAAATGCTTCTGAACTGGTATCCTCGGCTCAGGACAGATTGGATTGTGTGGCTGACATCAGGAGCTGGCAAGCTTTCAGGAGGGACCTGCCAAATGCTTATGTATTCACTCTAATTTAAGGACTTGGGTGCTGGTAATAACCACCTTCCCCCAAAGCATTGTGGGTTGGGAACCTCCTTGTCTGCCCGTGCCAGGGGAATAGCAGTGTTACCGTGATGGGGTACATTCAGCCTCAGAAAACATTTGCCAGCCACCTACTTTGTCCGAGGCACAGGGCAGGGCATTGGGGAACAGGTGCCAGGTCAGGTGCCTGGCCTTGAACACACCTACCTGGGTCCAGAGAGAGGAGAACAGGGACTCCATGTGTTCCCTCACTCAGTGGGAGGTCATGTATGAGCCTCCAATGCTGATCAGTAAAAATAACCCTTTTACACTTGCATCTTGGAAAGGAAAATGACTTAAACTGGGAGCACATTAAGTACAAAGCCAGGCAGAGGGAGTTCAACTTCCATCATCAACTCAGTTCTGGACAACTTCCATCATCAACTCATTCCTCCCCTCGGCTTCCTCACTGACTCAGTAAGAAAAACAGAAGCAATTCCAAAGCAGGCTTTTTTTCCAGGGGGTAGCACTTTTTTTTTTTTTTTCTTAATGAAATCTTACAAAGAACTCCAATATACAATACATAAAAGATAGGCTGTTCTGGCTGCACTGGAGTTGGGAGGCGCAGTGCCCTACCACCTGGTCTCCCCTTTCCTCCAGCAATGGCTGCTGAGGTTCTTTCCCCGAAGCAGGGTTCTCTGGAACGCTGCTTAAAAATCCCTGGGCGTAAAGATTTCTTTGGGCCCACCGAGCTCTGACCTTAACACTCTCTATAAGACCAAGAGGTAGGCTCCATGGATTATGTGTGAGTCCAGAAACAGACCAAGAAAGAGCTAGGAAATGTAGCAGTGACCTTCCAGACCTCCAGAAAAAGAGAGATTCTCTTCTCCTCCATCTTTCTCCAGCTACTTGGTGGCATGAGCTCGGGCTTTGTGTGTGACCATAAGTGAGTCGCTTTAGATGGCTGAACCGCAGGTTCTAGCGTGACCCATGGGCGGATTATCACTGAACTCAGGATTGTTGTAAGAAGTCAGTGAGATCCTCTGAACGACCCTTCACTATGGAGTTTGGCCCCAGACCCAAGTCTGACAACAGAGTCCCCGTAGGGGCCAGAGGTTCCGACCTCCCTGGCTGTGCCTGGCGTTCCTGTGCCTTTTCTGCAGCAGGCAGGCCAGAAGTGTCACTCAGTCCCTGTGCCCGCCATTGGTGGCAGGAGAGCACTAGGGTGCTGTTTAGCCCCCAACCTTTCCTGCTGCCCGCAGAACAGAGGAGTGATGTTCTCAGGAATGGCCTGGAGGCCCTTCCAGGTCTGGAGGGCCTGGTGATCCATCTCTGCTGCATTTTCAGAGCACTGTAGATCTTATCACAGGCAAGCTCTTTTTTAGAAAATCTGAAGGATGGATGTCAGGAGAGCCTGATGCAGAAGCAGGACTCCCAGTTAATCTGTGCGCTTTTCCAGAACATCCTTTAGAAGTGGGAATTCCGGAAACAGAGATCACTTTGCAGGGCTGGGGGAGAGCTCTTTTCTGTCGGAATATCCCTCCTTCCCCCTAGAATTTTCCAAGAAAAAGGCGGCCACTACAACCTGACCCACCTGAAGTGCCAGCCTTCCACCAGAAAAACCGCAGGACGGGTTCCTGCCCTCTTTCCAGAGGCTGTAGGAAGTGGAGAGCTCCCCACCTACTGGAGACCCTCATGGGGTCAAGCAGGAGTTACAGCTGTGGGACCCTTCAAGACCCAACCCTTCCGCCAGAACAAGTAGCCCCTTTCTGTCTGGTGACCCTGTGACCCTCAATCTTCCTTCCTACCTGCCTTCCAGACCCACCAATCTGTGTGTCCTCTATTCATCTGCCTCCTGTCCCCGCACCCTGGATCCTTTACTGTCTGCCCTCGCCATGGGGGTGACATCTCTTCACAGGCCCGGGGCCTGCCTTGGGATGTCAATCTTTCCTACGTCCCAGACCCCTGCCCCACATGTCCTGGGTCCCCGGGCCGGTCACTGTACCCTCTCTCCTGCAGCAATCGAGCAAAGCATTGAACAAGAGGAGGGGCTGAACCGTTCCTCAGCGGACCTGCGCATCCGCAAGACCCAGGTAGGAGGCTGTGGCCTGGAGAGGCGGGGGCTGGGCCGGACTGGACCGGACAGGACTGGGAAGGGAGCCCAGGTTGGAGCCGGGAAATGAGAGTGGGCAGCCAGAGTGGAGTGGGGCGGGGCCGCAGCCGGGCCACTGCAGGTTAGGGCGTTGGATGAGGGGCCTGGCGGAGGGGGGCGTCCTGGGACTGAGCACTTATCTGGGGTTGGGATCGTGGCACGAGCTGAAGAAGGGCGACAGGCCAGCTCAGCTCCTCCCCGCTGCATCCCGCCACTGGCCTCCTCGCCACCCTGTCCCGGCCTCCTGATGTGTCTGTACCCCTACCCTAGCACTCCACACTCTCCCGGAAGTTCGTGGAAGTAATGACCGAATATAACGCGACCCAGTCCAAGTACCGGGACCGCTGCAAGGACCGGATCCAGCGGCAGCTGGAGATCAGTGCGTGTGCCCCGCTTCAGAGTTCCCCAGCTTGCCCCAGCCCTCTTCCGTGGCTTCCCCAGGCCTTGTGTGGAGGCCGAAGGCTTGGGGGGAGGGTGGGCTCCTGGGTCTCTGCCCTATCCCATCACCTCAGGCCCCCAGACTGGCCCAGTCTGTGAGCAGGGAGGCCTTTCTCCCCACAGCTGGAAGGACCACCACGAACGAGGAACTGGAAGACATGCTGGAGAGCGGGAAGTTGGCCATCTTCACCGATGATGTGAGCCCCGGGTGGGGGTGGGTCCGGCTTTGGAAAACTTTTACTTCTCCCTCCCCGAGCTGAGGTTGAGTTAAGGTCCTAAATCCACCCTGGGATCACAGACAGCAGAAAGCCAGGACCTGGAGCTGGGGATTTCCATGGGAGCAGGGCAGGAAGGCACCCCCATAAAAATGGGCAATGTGTTGAGTAGCCACACACAGTTCTGAGCACCTTACATATTCACATGTACCTGCTGTCTCATCTGGTCCTCACCACCACCCTCTGAGGGAGCCAGATTTCACCAGTGAGGACATCTGACGCGGAGATTAACGGGAGAGGTTAAATAACATGCCCAGGGCCTTGGAGCCAGGATTCAGATACAAGGTCTCCTTCCTGCCAGTTTGGGCTTTGACGTCCTGAGAAGATACACTACTCCCTGCCGAAGCGGGGCATTTCACCAAATGAGTAACGTGCCTACATTATGAAATTTTGAAAAAAATACCAGTTTTAGTTTTGCTAAAGTTTTACGTCCTGCCCTGCCTTTGTCATCTTAAATGTGAGTGGATGGGCTTCCCCCACTGTAGTTCTTCTTTCTCTTTGTAGATTTTGCCTTGGCCTGCCCAGTTCTGTCTCTGCTTCTCATGGCAGAACGGCTCTGGTTAAGATTTCTAGACCAGAACTCGAGTCTGCTCAGTGACTGTCTAGCAGTTTTCAGCAAATTGTTATTTAGAGAACTGATCTTGATTAAATTAGCTTTGGAGCAAATTGATTAGGGCCAGGTAGCCGCCTAGAGTCCTCCCAAACAGCTCTGCCCAGGCTTCCGTGTGAGAACAGAGGGGAGCCTGGTGGGTTCTAAGAGGACAGAACTGATCCCTGCCAGTGAACACACCGTCACTGCAACGGAAACTCGTCATTACAATGCACGGTGCTTGGGGATCTTGCCTGAGGGATGTGCAACCCGCAGATAGGCCCTAAGGTAGCAGTTAACTCCTAGAGTCAGGGAAGGCTTCCTGGGGGAAGTGGCATGGAGCTGTGCTTTAAGAAACAAGGAACATTTGGACGTGGTGAGGTGGGCAAAAAGCCCACTGAAGAAGGGGAGCAGATTGAACGAAGATGGGGAGAGTGGACCACTTGCCAAACAGCCATTGGATGATTTTGGCTGTTAGAGGAGATGTAGGAGATGAGGGCAGAAAGGGGGACTGAGCCCTGGATAGGGTGAAGATGTACAGACTGTGGGTGGGGGGCAGGGAGGAATTGTGGGGAGCCCTGGAGGGTTTCAGAGCAGGGGAATGGCTTGACGGGGTCTGAACAGTAAGCAGTTGGGGAAGCGAGTGGCCTGGCTCAGGCCAGGTGTGTGGGGGGAGAGGGAATCCCTGCTTGTGGATGGGAGTTAATTTCTCTCCCCCTGACTCTTGAGGGCTGCAGTGCAATTCTTTATTTCTGCCCTCCCTAATGTCTTGGGGGCTCCAGAGCAGGCACAGTGCCTTCTCTGCTGGGCCTTCTCTGCTTCTACTTGCTTTCTCTGCTGTGTCCTCTGCCTTTGACCAGACAGGGGCCCCCAATGCTAGTGGTGACTCTACAACCCTATCGCTCTTCCCTGGTGTGTGTGTGTGTGCGTGTGTGTGTGTGTGTGTGTGTGTTAGAGGAAGCCCTGGGGAGGTGGTGGGTTCAAGCCAACTTTTATTTCTTGTAACTCAGACTTCTCTTTGGTGCTTACTGTGTGCCCAGCAGGTGCCGTTCTAATTGGTGGATATAAGTAACTCAAAGCACGGTGGGAGGTGGGCACTGCTATCATCCACCTTTTCTAAGTGTGGAAACTGAGGCCCGGAAAGGTTAAACAACTGGCCCACAGTTAGAGCAAGGAAATGACGGTCAGATTTGAACCCAGACACTCTGGATGCAGAACCCACACTTACCAGAGTGAAGAGGGGTCTGCAGCTCCTCCCCTCCCGCCCCCCACCTTATCGCCCTAGATCAAAATGGACTCACAGATGACGAAGCAGGCACTGAATGAGATCGAGACGAGGCACAACGAGATCATCAAACTGGAAACCAGCATCCGAGAGCTGCATGACATGTTTGTGGACATGGCCATGCTTGTGGAAAGCCAGGTATTGCCTTTCCCCCGCCTTCTGGGACCCTCCTTCAGGTCCCTGGGGTGCCCCCCCCTTCAGCCCAGTCCCCACCCCATCCTCTGCAGGGTGAGATGATTGACCGCATTGAGTACAACGTGGAACATTCCGTGGACTATGTGGAGCGAGCTGTGTCCGACACCAAGAAAGCTGTGAAATACCAGAGCAAGGCCCGGAGGGTAAGCACCGGGGAGAAATGGGCGGGCCTTGGGGAGGGGGAGAGGAGTGGGGGCAGCGAGTGCAGGTGGGCTGGAGCGGAGGAGGGCTTCGGTAGGTTCAGGCCAGGGCTGAGGTGAGTGTTGAAATCCAGAGGGAGGCCTTATCTCTGGCTCTGACCTCTTCCTTTTTCTGTTTTCTCTCCCCTCCTCTTTTCCTCACACCTCCTCCCCCATCTCCCCCCGCATCTGTCTGTCTTTCTTTATCTCTCCGTCTCTCTCTCCCGTCCTTCCTCTCTGTCAACCTTTCTGCCTGCAGAAGAAAATCATGATCATCATTTGCTGTGTGGTGCTGGGGGTGGTCTTGGCGTCATCCATTGGGGGGACGCTGGGCTTGTAGGCCCCCCCACCCCTGTCTCTCCCAGACCCTTCCCCCACCACATTGGGAGCAATACCCCCACCACCCCTTTCACTCCATCCCCTGCTCCAGGCTCACCCCCAAGACAGATCCAGGCAGCCCCCCTTCCCCACTTCCTGTCAGACCCCAGAGTCCCCGGACCTCCCCCCCCCACCCGCCACGGACCACCCCCCGCACGTAGACAGCAGCAGGCGTGATTACACACGCACACCCACATGCGTGCCGCCAGAACATGCTCAAGACGTGTGGACACCCCAGCGTGTGTGTGTGTGCGTGCGTACATGTGTGTAGAAACCCCAAATCCCCCTTCTGCCCCCCTCCCAGTCTGTGTGTCATCTGAGCTTTCCCCCTTCACTTGGGTTGTTGTGTGTGGACTGTGGCCAGGTGTAACACAGCAGCCCTGCTCTGTCTTCTGTGAACAGGTGTGTGTGTGTGTGTGTGTGTGTGTGTGTGTGCGTGCACGCCCATGTGTACGTTGTGAGCCTGTGGAGCTTAATCAAGGTGAGTGGGAGCACACACGTATCCCTAACCCAGCCCAGCTGTGTATATGTGTGCGTTTCTCCCAGCAGGTAATGTGTGTGTGTGTGTGTGAAGGGTGTGCTTCAAGTGTTGATCGGCGTTCTCCTCAGACAGAGCCCTCTGTGTTGTGCGCGGGACACCCGTGTTGGGTGGGCACAAAATCCGTATTTCTGTGCTGTGTAGAATACGTCTGTGTGAGCGTGTGTGTGTGTGTGTGTGTGTGTGTGTGTGGAGAGGCTTTCTACATAGTGTGTTTCTGCCCTCCAGTGTATTAGACGCACACACGTGTTCTTCTTCAGAGACGGGCGCCGTCCGGGATTGTCTTGCTGGCCGTATTTGCCCTCTCTCCCTCTCCCCCTCTCCCCGGAGCTGCTGACCGCCCTCTGGTGCGGCCACACACCGTTCCACCAACACCGTGCCACTGGAGCAGCCTGCCCGGCCGGGTCTCCAAGCCCCTGTGCGCACATGCCTGCATGCCCGTCCTTCTCTGTGTCTCTGCCAGAGGGCAGGCCTTCATCTGGGAAAGCTGGTAGACCTCGGTGTGCTCCCCCGTGCCCAGGCTGAGTGTGCGAGTGCGAGTGCACCCCCCGCCCCGGCCTCTTCGTGGGCAGTGTTGCCGATGAGGGCTGCCCCAGACAGACGGAAAGTGAGGGCACTGCTGCCTTCCACACATTTACCTCAGAACTGGGAGAGGCCAGCGTTTGTCTTCGCCACCCCAGTCGATGCTCCGGGCTCTGCCTCAGGGACCGGAATGGCCAGTGTGGCGGCCTCCACTCGGTGGGGGTGGGGGGCGAGTCCCGGGACCCCTCCCCTGGACCTGGACACCTCTCCTGCTAGACGTTGGGGACCCGCCCCTGCCCACTCCCTGGGCTGAGACACAGCCACCCTGAAGTGAGGCACAGGCCCAGGGGTCTGAGGGTGAGGGAAAGGCCAGCCCCTCCCTCGCTGTGTACACAGTGCACAGGCACTGGGCACGGGTGGGTTTGCGAGGCTGGTGGCAGGCGGGAGGTGCAGGAGCAAAGGACCCACGTGTACAGCACTGAACGCACGCGGGGTGCACGCCAGGGTTGGGCATGTGTATGGACAGGGTGAGGGAGTCTGGCATGTGTGTTCACATTGTTTCCCAGGGTCCCCTTTCATGTGAGGCGTGTGTGTGTGTGTGTGTGTGTGTGTGTGTGTGTCAGAGACAGAGACAGGGAGACTATGCACATGTGGCCTTCCAGAACACAGTACCCCTCCAGCCCCCACCCCAGCTCACGTGGCTGGCCCCATTCCTACTTGAGCTGTTCGAGCCCTGTGTGAGGCCCATCTATGTAACAGCCCCTAAGGTGGGCTCTGTTGTGGAGGGGAGCCTGCCCGTCCCTTCCAAGGGTGTCCTTCAGTAGGACAGGAAGTTTGCCCCAGTATCTAATTACAGCCCTCCTCCCATCTCAGGCTTCTCTGGGGACATCAGATCAGGCCCCAGCACCCCCACCCTTTTTCCTTCCTGCCTCCGGCGCCAGGACACCCTTGCAGCCCAGGTGTTTCCGGAATTCCCACCGCCTTTGGGGCCACAAGCAGGAGGGCAGAGCCATGTCTGGAGGGATGCTGTGGCCTCCTGGAGTGGTATTGGGCCCATGGCTGCCCATCTCTGGGCAGCTGGACTGGAGGTTCATCAAGGGTCTGCTGGGCCCCAGCTTCTTCAAGTCCTGCACATCGTGTGAGGGCAGCTTGTTGGCTGCTGTGTCTGTATGGGTCCTGGAACGTCGTCTGGGGGCTGGTGTCTCATGCATGTTCTCGGACAAGTGTGTGCTGCTCCCCCTCCACGCGCCTACAGCCACCAAGCCCACGAGTGACCCGTGGGTGGTCCTGGGCCTGGCCGGGGCTCGCTGCTTCCCCTTCCCCCAAGCCCTGCCTCTCTCAAAGCACACTGCGTGTCCATCCCATGTGCCTGTGGGTCGATGCACGCTCTTGCCACGCCTTGAGCGTGTGTACATGATGTGTTCTATGCATTCACCCTGTCCCCCAAGCCCGCCCCGCAGAGGACATGATGGGTGGCCCCCGGCTCCCTTCTCCCCCCACCCTGCCCCCTGCCCGCTGTGCAGCCGTGTGCGTTGGCGTGTGTTTCCGTGTCGCTGGCGTGTCACGTGATGTAGCCGTGTTTGCTGACATGAGCCCTTGCCCCTTCTGTTTCTCTGTTGGTTTCTAGAGCTCTTTCCCTCTCCTCCCAGGAGGGGACAGGACTCCTGGGGCCTGGCTGGGGGCCCAGAGCCAGGCCACCCTCTCCTGTTAGCCCTCAGAGTCCCATTTCTCTCTATTGGTGACCAAGTTGCAAATGGATAAAACACAGGAAAATTCTGCCCCCCCCCACCCCGCCCTGCATGTCCTGTCCCCAGAGCCCCCCACCCCCACCCCGGGCCGGGTCGGGCCCCGTGGGACGGGAGAAATAGCAACCAATCCAACAGCGGGCATGCTGTGTGCTCACTTCCTTCTGTCCCCACGTGGGACAGGCGCCGTGGGGGACAGGGTGGGAGGCAGGAGGGGGAACTGGACAGGTAGACGGACACAGGCTTGCATTAGGAGCTTTAATCCAGGGCTCGGCTGGGTACAGCACAATACTGTAGGAACTAATTTGGGTGGAGAGGTGGGAAGAAGGGAAAACCTGCAGATTTGCTTAGGCTTCATTGAAGAACAGAGAGAGCTGTCAAAAGGTGATAAATGTTTTTTAAAATAATGAGACTATGACCCTCAAAGAGGGCCCCAGGTGGTAGGAGGAGCCAGAAAGGATCTTCAGGCCGAATCCAGGCCTGAATCCAGGCCCAGACCTCAGAAGGCCAGCACGAAGCCCGTGGGACCCTTCTCACTTCCTGCTTGAAAAGCCAGATGGGACAGGGCAGTTGAGAACAATCGGGCCATCGGACATTCACCAGCCAGCTGTCAGGCCTGGGTTGAGAGTGAAGATGTGCCTGTCCCAAAACCCTGCCCCAGGACTTAAGAGGCGTGAGGATGCAGACTCACAGCTCGTGGCTTAGAAGCGTGGGAGCTGCAAGGCAGGCGAGCCGATGTGGTACCGGCCCCTCTGCCCCCAAGGGCTGGAGGGCGCCGGACCTGGACGGTCGGATGTGCCACACACCGAGCTCCAGGCCCCAGCTCCACCGTCACTGGGCTGAGCCCTCCATGGTCTGCACCCAGCGGATGGTGCGGGTCCGGCTGTCCTCCCACGAGAACAGGGGTACATAGCCAAAGTGGCGCTGCGCCTTGTCGGTGCTCACAGTGAAGGTCGTGTTGGCCACAGCCAGTGTGTAGGGGTTGAGCAGGGGGGCGTAGAGAAACAGGGGCCGCAGCAGCCACTGCAGCAGGGCGTTGAGAGCAGCCAGAAGCACCAGCAGCCAGTAGGGCACCAGCAGGCGGGACTCCACCAGTCGCAGCCCGCAGGGGCCCAGGAACTCCATGTTGAAGTCCTCGTAGCTCTTATAGGGCGACTCGTCATAGCAGAAGTACACCTGGCCACCCATGAGTGCTGCTCGCCGCTCCAGCTCCCGGGCCACCAGCACGTGCATCCAGGCCACATTGCCTGCCGGTTGGGGGGGAGGCGGACGTGGTCCCGAGTGCCCCAGAGCCCACGGAGAGGCTGCTCTCTCCTGGGCTGGCCCATGTCCAAGGGGCTCTTGTAAAGGCTGCTTTCTCCCCACTCGCCCTCCTGGGCCGGCCGGGGTGCGTGCTACTTCTTTGGGGGTTCCCGTACAGGGGCTGCCCTTCACCTCTCCTGGGGAGATGCCGCTCCCATGACTGCCATTCTGTCCTTGGCTGGTGACATGTGTTTTACATCAGCCTTCCCAGCTCGCATGGATGCTGTTTCCTCTGGGGTTGGGCAGACAAGGCCCGCATATCTGGCCACTCCGGCCCATGCGTGGCTCACCCTTCGCTGGCCACCACATACACTGCCCACCCGAGACCACACGGGCCCTGTCCCATTCTTAGCCTCCCCGCTGTGTAGCCGGGGCCTTACCCACGTAGACCCGACCATGCTCCACGGAGGCTGGGATGGCCCGGAAGAGCCGACCCCCCAGGCGAAGGCCTTGGTGGTAGAAGTCCCGCATGATCTGGTGGCCTTCACCGTAGATGCCAGTGGGACGCAGGGCACATGTCACCAGGGGCAGCCCCCCATGGACCTGGGGGTGAAAGGCAGGCATAGCGAAGACCCAGTACCCAGCAGCCTGCCCTCTGGCCTGGCCTCCTCACATTGGAGATGGAAGGGAGGAGGGGCCCAGGGCAGACTGCAAAGAAGTCCCGCTGGTGCCAGCTCTGCCTGGGACAGGCAGCCCTCCCCACTCCAACTTTGGGTCTCTTTGCCTCCTGTCTCACCTCCCTTCCGTTGGCTTCCAGGACCAGCCGCTCAGCTTGGGCCTTGCTGCAAGGATAGGGGTGACTGTGCACTGCTTCATAGGGGGTGTCCTCGTTGCCCCTAGTTGAGGGACAGGGAAAATTCTTAATGCTGAGGGGAGATGGGGCTCTGAAAGTATTGAGGGGAACCTCAGCTTACCTGTAGAAGGGGTGGCCTTTGATGTTGGGCCCCACAACTTCCATGCTGCTTGTGTAGACCAGGAACCGTGTTCCAGTCTGCACACAAGCCTCAATCACGTTCTTTGTGCCTGGGAGAGGTGGTGGGGAGGGGAAGGGTGGACCCGAGCTAAAGCTTCGTCCCTCTCTGCATCTTTCCCACCTTGCATCTCAATTCTGGATGAGGGCCCGGGGCTTCCTTCCCCAGGTCCAGGGAACAACCACAGCAGGGCTGGGAGGGCTGCCGGACTGCCATTAGTGGGGCAGAAGTGTCCAGAGGACAGGTTTCCACAGGAGAAGCCCAGAAATCAAGGTCAAAGAGGGGGTGGGGAGTAAACAGCCACCTCACCCTGTACGTTGACCTCATAGATGGTCTCGGGGCTGGCCCTCCCGAACACATCCACCAGCCCAGCTGTGTGGATGACCACATGGGCTCCAGCCACAGCCGCTGCCACCTCGTGGGCCTGGGTCACATCCCCCTGGATGGCAGTCACCTGCACGGGCCCTGGGAGGGATGGGGCAGCCAGAGGCAGCATCAGAGCTGGGGCCGCCAGCCAGCTGCTGGACTCAGCCCACACCCTTAGGAGCCACATGTTCCCAATGTGACTCATTCATCCCATTTGTGTGCACTGGAAGATATAAACAGGCATCATCTTTTCCACCCTCGCCAAAGGAGCCCACCCACCCCCATATCCCTGCGCACCACAGTCACCTGTCTTCAGCTCCTCCAGCCAGGGACCCAGGTGCAGGTCAAAGACCCGCAGCTCCAAGAGCCGGGGTTCCCGCTGCAGAAGCATCCGCACCACATGCTCCCCCAGGAAGCCGCAGCCACCTGTGACCAGGTACACCAGCTTCCGGGCCTCTGTAGACTCGGCCATGCCTGGCTGGGGAAGAGAACTGAGTTGCCTGCCGCCACCTACCCCGTGTCCGCAGCACACCTGTTACTTCCAGCTGGGGCCTCCGGCCTAGTGGGCCGGAGTGGTGACACCAGGGGCCCTGAGTGGCTCCAAAGCCTGGAGTGTGGGCTGCAGCAGCTGGGCTACCTGCCCCCTGGCCCCGCCAACTGCAGTTACGGAGATGAGGGTGAGGGCCTGGGGTGTGGGAAGGGCTCAGGGGTTGAGCTGGAGGGGGAGGTTCTGGGGACAAAAATGGAAGGGAGTAGGTAAAGAGCTGAGGAAGAAAGGAGAGGCAGACGGGAAGCACTGTGACTAGGGAAAGGGACCCCGGGGCCCTGGCATCGCTTCTGCCTACCTGCAGCCAGTCCCAGGACACCCACACTGGCCACCGGAGGGGCTGTCTTCTGTTGACTCTGGGGCTGGCCAGCCAACACACCGTCCCCTTCCGCTCGCTCCTCCTCCCTCCTGGCCCATTCCAGGAACAGACACCAGCCCAGCCTCCACCCCTCCGTCCCCTTCACTCTTGCCGTAGGGCGCCCCCTGGTGGCCACTCTGCACTCCGCAGGCATCTGGTTCCAGCAAAAAAACCTTGAGGAACAGGGCTGGGGAAGCTGGAACCTGTGGGGTGGGCACTGAGGATGGAGCAGGTGCGGTGACCTCATTCCCACTGCATGACATCAGTCCTCCCCTTTGGCTGAATTTCCCAGGATGCCAGAAGCCCAGCAGCAGCTGCGGTTCTGGGAAGGGAAGGGGATGCCAACCTTGGCCCAGCTCTGGCTGACCTTGGTGGGGGATTTCTGGATGACTATTCCAGCCTAAGGGGTTGAGTCCGTACGTCTGCCCACCCCAAACTTCGGTCCACCCGTTTCCCCTCTCTTCGCTTGACCAGTCCCCTGTCTTTAAACCCCCATCCCCCACCTACTCTTCCCCAAAGATACTGACCAAGCACTTTTGTACAATAAAGTTTAATCACAATTATAAAAATGTGGCGTTGGGTTTGCGCTATTAACATATGTACAATCCAGCCCAACAGGAAGGGCCCGCCTCCCACCATCCTGGCCTGGCGGAGCAGGAGCTTCCAGACGCCAGGGTGGGAGGGTGACCCACAGGGTCTGGCAGGAACAGAAGATGAGGCAGGGTTCCAGGCACGGAGTCCCTAGGACTGGGGGCACAGGGCCCCCCCCCCAGGGGGAGAACATGGCCACTGCCCCTAGAGACCCCTAAACTGGGGAGGGGTGCACGCAGGGCACAAAGGGGAAGTCCCCATTAACACAAAGCAAGGGGGCTATGCAGCCCCCCAAGAACAAGATCTGTACAGGCCGGCACCCCAGGTTTCCACAGGAAACAGCTGCTGGCAGCTACAAAACATTTACAGCTTCTTCTCCGCAAAGAAAAAAAAGTTAGGGGGTAGGTGGGTGGGGGCGATGGGGGAGGCAGAAGCTGCCTCAAGGGACTGAGGCTCCCTCGCTGGGCTTGGGGCCCCCCAACCCCGTATCTGGAGACAGGGGTAGGTGGGGCCTGCAGAGCCCGCTAAGGCTGGGGCGCAGGGAGCTCAGGGCACCACGGGGAATAAATAGGGGCGCGGGCACCAGTCCTGCCCCACCTCAGTTGAGGGAGCCGCGGCAGCTCTCGGTGCCGCACAGACAGGGGATCTTGTTGTCCTCCAGCGGGAACTTGTAGTCGTAGGTGATCTCCTCATCCACACCGATGGGCTGCTTGGAGTAAATCACAATCTTCTTCTGGGACTCGATGGTGATCACCTTGGCATAGCAGTTGGGCTGTAGGAGGCAAGGTGGAGTGAGCGGCAGCCCCTGTCCTGGGCTGCCCCCACCGCCCCTGCAGGTCCTCCCCCCAGGCCCCCATCCCCCAACCACCACGCGCACCGTGCAGCAGTGGTTGATGAACCTCGCCAGGTTGCCGCACTTGGTGGCATCGATGATGGTGTCGTGGTCCACCCGGAACAGGTAGCTGCTGCCGATGCCCTCCTGCACGTAGCGCTTCTCCCGCATGTCGGCTACCATCTGGCAGAACAAGGTGCTGCCACGGTCGGCTTCCTGCCAGACCACGCCTTGCCCCGGCAGTCCCCGTGAAGGGGCCCCAGACAGTTACCCGGCTACCACCCCTGGGGAACACATCGGCCTGTCCTGGACCTGCATCTCTCCTTCTGGCTCCCACCAACCCAAGGAGCCGACCGTCTGCTCCAGGAGCCCCCGTTCATAGGGTCCCCCCAACCCCGACACCTCTGGCTGCCCTTCTGCATCTCCCAAAGGGAAGTCTGCAGGACTCAGTGGGCAGGAGCCGCAGCCCCTGCCTGGCCCCCAGTGGGGCCCCGGTCTAGGTGGGGCCAGGCCAGGTCCTGAGACAGCATGGCCATTTCAGAGGCTGAACCCCGTCCATCTCTTCTCCCAGGACCCTCTCTCCCCCAAACAGGCATCCATGGGCTGCCACTCGCCACCTTCAGGGCCCACAGTCTTGTGCAAAGAGTGATTCCTTTTTCCCAGAAAATGGGACGCTCGGCCCTCTGTGCTCTCTCCTTGGGTGACCTCACTCTCTCCCAGGGCTTCAGCTGCCAGATAAGGGCTGGGGACTCCTCCCAAACTTCCATCTCCAGCCAAAATCCACCTCGGTGGTGCTGCTGGATGTCATCCTCTAGGTGTCCCCAGGGCCCGGCCACTTTACGGGTCCTGAACGGAGCTCCTCGCGGCCACACAGCTGCTCCTCCTCCTCACTCCCCACCTCACTGGCAGCCTAAGCTGCTCCAAGCAGCACTGAGAAATGACCTCCTCCCCACTTCCCTACTTGCCAGAGCCAACTTACTGTCCAGTCCAGCCAGCTGCCTTGGACCCACAGACTCCTATTGGCTGCAACTGCTTAGTCTGGGCCACCTGGGCCTCTATGGGATCTCTGCGATAGCGCCCCCGCCGGTCTTCGCCTCTAGCTGTCCCCTCACGCTGTAGCTGGAGGGGGCCTACAGACTGCGAAGCCTGTTATGGGGGGGTGCTTCGCCACAGCCTCCCTCCCCTTACCGCTGGCCCCAGGTCACCCACATGGCTCCTAAGATCCATGGAATCCAGCCTCCACTGGCCTTTTTGGAGCTTCCATTGTGGCCGCTGGCCCTGGTTTTTCCAACTAGCCATAATGACCTCCTTGCCCACCTAAGACTATCCTGTCTCCAGGCCTTTGCACATGCTGTCTGGCAACTGGGAGCACTCTACCCCTCATCTGAGTCTGGGAGTTCATCATCCTTCAGCTCTTGGCTTCCACATCACTGTGTGCCCACTGCCGCTGCCTCCCCGAACTTCCCCTTCCTCATCGACCGAACGCCATCTTTCATGGCAACTGCAATTCCCCCACTGAACTGTATGAGGCCCTTAAAACAAGAGAGAGCACTGGTCTTGCTTCTTGCTGGATCATTACCATCTAGTTTAGGAGCACCCCTTACTGTTGATGGAAGGGACGAAACACAAAGAGGCAGGTTTCACCAACTACGTCTTGGAACCGGGAGGTCACATGGGGCTTTACCCAGAGATGAGGTGGTTCTCATGCCAGCATAACGTGCTGCCATCTGACCGGGGGCTGGGTACAGGGCCTCACCTGGCGGATGTTCTGACCCACATACTCGATGACCATCTCGTCGGCTGCAATGGGCTCCATGGCAAACAGACCCCACTCATGGATCCGGCTCCGGCCGAACCGGAGTTTCTTCTTCCGGAACTAGAAGGCGGAAGGCAGACTGTGCCACTCAGTGCCTTGGCTGCTGTCCTCCGAGGGGAGGAGCGTCCTTTTGGCCCCTCACCTCCACACCCACCCCCAAGAGGCCGAGAGACTTTGTGATGCTGCCCTCCCTCTGAGCCTCTCTTCCCCTGAGTCCCGCCTCCTCACCTTGAGCTGGTTCAGCTTCAGCAGGTCACTGTCCATGATGGCAGAGGTGCCAATGGCGCTCAGCAGCCGCCGTTGCTCAGACCGGCGCTCCGAAAGCACGCGGTTAGTCCCCTGGGAGGCACGGCAGGGAGTGGGGGTAAGTGACAGCAGGACCGTGGGAAGAGACGCCAGGGGGCCAGGTACCAGGGCAGAGTCTTACCTGAGTGTCTGCTCCTTCCAGCTGCCGGGCCGAAACAGGGCACACATCCAGGTACCTGTCCTTCTCCTTCTTGCTGATGGGGTAATAGCCTTCACTGCGGGCTGAGCCTGTCTGGTGCTCACGGGGCCCATCCTGGGGCCGCCGCTTGCGTTTCGGAGTGCTCAGGTTGGTGAGTACAGGGTGTTAAGGAAGAAAACGGGTTCCTCACTGGCCAGATCCCCGGGGCCCTCTCCCTTCTATCCTCCCAGTCCCAGCCTAAGGAAAGGGTGACTGACCTTAGCTGGAGGTCCCAAGCATTATTTAGTGTGAGCAGAACAGAAGATGGAGAGAAGGAAGTCTGAGACCTTACCTTTCCTGCCAGAAAAACTCTGGGAGGCAGAAAGAAAAGAATGGCCTGGGGGCCAGATGAGAGATACCCAGGCTGAGTGTAACAGAGAGCGCTGGACAGGGAGCAGAATAAACCAGAGGCTAGCTACAATCTGAGGGGGCCACTGCCCAGCTGTGCGACCCCAGGGAAGCCTGTCCCCGTCCCCGGGGCCTGCCCTCCTGTCCAGAGCAGGCCGGCCTCTAGGGCCCAGGATATTGGTGTGATGGACCCAGTGGGTGTCGTTAAGCCAGTCAGCCCCGCTCGTCTGCTGCAGCAGCCGCTCGTACGTGAGCCGTAGGTAGCCCATGTCCTCTAAGTCCAGGCCCGAGTTCCAAATGTCATACAAGATGGTCATCTGCTCAAACTCACTGCGGGGCTCAAAGGTGGGGGGTGGCGGGGGTGGGGGCGGGGGCGGGGGCCGCCTGCGCCGGGCATGAGAGCGGAGGCTGCGCCGCCGCACAGCACCCTCCCCACCGCTACTGCTGCTGCTGCTGCTTTCTGAAGACTCAGACTCCTCCTCCTCCTCCTCCTCCTCCTCCTCTTGCTGCTGCTGCTGCTGCTGCTGCTGTAGCGGTGGCGGCGGCTGCTTTGGCTCCTCCGCCTCGGCCACCACCACCTCAGGGGCCTCCAGGACTTCATCCGCTGGGGAGCTGAAGAGGGCCGCAGGAGCAGGAAGCGGCTCCAGGGGCCGAGGGGCCGGGGTGGAGGGCGGCGGCTTGACGGCCAAGGCGTAGTTGTGCTCCAGGAGGATGTGGCTGAGCAGGGGGCCCGGGCGGTCGGCCTCATCCGATGTCTCAGTGGCCTCCGAGTCGTCACCAGGAGGCAGGGCAGGCAGCCCGCGACGGACTGGGGTCAGGGCCAGGTCGGCCAGCACTGCCAGGTCCACTTCTGTCACTGGCTCTGCCTCCTCCTCGTCGGCAGAGCGGCCGCGGCCTCCAGTGCGACCCCGCCCTGCCCGGGCCACCTCCTCGGGCCAGCTCTTGACCAGAGACGCATGGTCCAGGGGCAGGTTTCGAATGGTCCGCTCTGCAGCCCGGGGG